GTCACTTCAGCACCAGGAAGTAGGTGGTCCAGCCGGCCAGCAGGAGCGCCCCGATGAGCACCGTATAGCTGAGGAGCACGAAAGCGAGCAGTTCCCGCAGCAGCTGCAACACGTGGACGGTGGACGAGGCCGGCATCGCCCTGCAGAGACCTGGAGCCTGAGCCCGCGTAGGGTGCGTGTGGCGGGACAGCACTCTTCCAAGGCCAAAGAAGCCTAAAGTGCTGTTCTGCAGCGGGAAAACGTGCCTTCTAAAGCAGTAGTTGCCCACACTCCCTCTCACTGGCATCTGAGCTCCAAAAGGGGAAAGGGCCTGGTCTTTCCCAGTCCTAGCTTTGCATTAGACCCCAACGCAGTCCTCTCTTGCCACCACCTCTTGCATTTTTAATGCAGCTGGTGCCGCTAATGTGCTGGTGGAGGATAGCTTTATTTTCCCGTCACTCAAGCTGCAGCTCTGTCTGTGGGCCGCCTGGGAGTGCAGAAGCAGCATGCCATTGCTCATTTCCTCTGTCATCTTCCTGACCCCAGGATTGTCGACAATATACTTTAAGGATGTGTGTGTTTGTGTGCCCCAGCATGCTTGCCTTGTGGCCAGTCAGGATTAAAACCGAAGGGCGCCAAGTAATAGGTACCAATTTGATCTTGGGCTCCCATCATTCCTAATATGTTTTACACACCCCATCCGTGCAGATTTCACCTCAGACGCTAAGAGTCACAAACTAGCTCATCTTCATTGCTGCCTTGCCTGGCAGATCCCCTCAAGGCTGGTGTCTAGCTTCCCACTCTTCCCAATTTACTCACTTGGCAAAGTTTCCACGATTCCTCCCCGCCACAGCTTCCACAGCTTCTCTCTGGTCTGCTGAAGAGAGACTTGTGCACACTGCAGCGATCTTGGCAGAACTGAGGTCTTCAGGCAGCTGAAGCACTCAACAACTAGGTGTGGTCTAGCGACCAATTACAACCTCTGTGTGGTTTCTGAGCTCCCAGGGAGCTGCGCACAGGCAATCCTAGGCCAGGCGGGGCACTGGCAGCCGTGCCCGCCCTCTGCCTGTGTCACCTCCAGTCTACAGGATGAGGCATCAGCGATTTTCAAGGCTCCTGACTTAAATGGGCTGAACAACTGGTACCCCAGGGGGTATTTCAAGCCCCTTCTTGTCTTGCTTGTCTAAACACCCCAGTTGGGCTGTACCTCCAGTGTAAAACTGAAAGCAGTCCTGTCAAGAGGCCGGCGCGTTCACCACGACTGTCTTCCTAATGGAAAAACCGCTGTCTTAAGAAAGGCAAGTGTGAACACGCACATGTGTATGTGAAAATCACAGATGATAGCCCCAGGGTGCATGATCCTAATTTACAGAGTTTAGCAGTTTGCAAACTCATTACCCAGGCCACTTCCAAGTTCATCTACAGAAGTGAGGCAACAAAAGGAGCCAGCTGGGAAAGCAAAGGACACTTTCCCTTTCCCCAAAGTAACTACGAAGGACAAGCAAGAACAAATATACAGCTTATTCTTCTGCTTATACTAGATTATGAAGACTATTTTTTGACCTCTGGAAGAGCAGGCAGTGTGGACGTCAACCTTTTATAACATCATCATCCAGAAGCAAATGGCCCCTTAATTTAATCAGGATCTCTTATTATCAAATCATTGCCTTGGTGAAGCCTGCTCGAAAACAGGGGCAGAACATCAACACGCAGCTCAGGAAGCCAGTACGTAGTAATTGCTCCCCCAGAGGGCTGGACATCTGAAGGGCTCCATGCCTTGCCTCGTCACAAGATGGAAAGGATGGCTAAGATGAATGCCATCACCTGTACCAGAGTGGCAGACAGAAAGTTCAGATCTCTCCCTACCCGGTCTTCAAATGGATGCCTCAAGGCAGTTATGTAGTTTATGCTTTGTACCAGCTACAAACCTGCCAAACTGGGGTTTTTTATAGTAATAGAGTAACTTAAGCAAAGAAATACTACATGGGGGCTGACAAGATTGGCTCAGCAGGTAAAGGAGCTTGCACCAGGCCTGACAACCTGAACTCGATCCTCAGGACTCACATGGGGAGAGAACCAACTCCTTGAAAGCTGTCCTCTGATTGCTATGGTGTATAAACACACACATACACTCACACACACTCTACATAAGATACATAAAGAACTATAACATGGAATAAAATTCACATTAACCCACTTATAAATAATGAGAAATTTTACATACTGTCTTTTCCTTTTATGGCCTGAGAAGGCATCCTCTGTCATAAATAATGCATCAGCTCCTAGAGTACCACTGACAACCTAGAGGCAACATCCCTAGAGACAGGGATGTATGCTGCATCCCGTGCTATGCCATCTTTTATCACAGCCCCTTTACTTCGGATGCTTAGTTCATTTTGCTGTTTAAAATGTTTTGGGTAGGTAAATCCTAGCACTTGGTAGTCTGAGACAGAAGGACTGAATTCAAGGCCAGCCTGGGCTATAGAGGGAGACCTTCTCTCAACAACAGAAGTATATTTGCTTGAATTTAACTCCTCAGAACACAAACATTTCCTCCTAGGGTCAAGCTACTGGGGCCTTTTTCTTTTTCTCCATGTTGTTCTGAGAATGGAAGCCAGGCCCATGGATGTGCTCAGTAGCACTTCTACCACACGCTAAATGAGTCCCCCCACACACAATTTATTTTTTTGAGACAGGGTCTCAATATATATCACAGATGACCTATATAACCCAGATGACCTAGAACTCCCAATCTTCCTGCCTCAGTCTGCTGATCTCACAGTAAAGGTGTGCCACTGTGTCCAGCTTCTAGCTAGCCTTTGTGTACAACTGAGAACAAGGCAGACCGGCACGCAGTGATCAATCACAACCTGATTCTAGCACAAGTAGAGCAGGAGTGGAATAGGGTTCATATGGAGACCTTCCTAGTTCTCAAGAAACCTCCCATTCCAATCGTCCCTCCCTAGACCGTTTCTCTCTTGCTCTACAATCAATCCAGTTAAAGTACTTAGTTTCTGGATTTAAGGCAACAGAAGATGTGTAAATTAACAGGGTCTACGTAGATGTCTTTAATCAGGATGGCTGGTGTGGCAGAATGGTCCAGCTAACCAACTCAACAAAAGTGCAGACATGGCATATAAACCTCTCTAAGAATAAGTGTTCCATTCCCACAGCCTTTCTCAGAGCTTTTGTGTGTGTGTGTGTGTGTGTGTTTTGAGACAGAGTTTCTCTGTAGCTTTGAAGCCTGTCCCCTGGAACTCGCTTTGTAGACCAGGCTGGCCTTGAACTCAGAGATCCACCTGCCTCTGCCTTCCCAGCTGTTAGAACACACTCTTAAGAAACAAAGACAGCTTTGTGTGCATCAAAGGGCATAATATAATTATCACCATTTCTATTTGTTCACAGATGAAGTAAGTGTGTGGTTTTAAAAAAGTATTCTGCTGAGTACATTTTTGGAGCTGACCTTGCTATTCTCTGAGCAAACAAATACAGACTCAGAAACAAATGCAGACACATGAGATTACAACCGGGCATCTGTTCACTGCATAAACACCCCAGCCAAAGAGACCTGACCAAACTTGAACAGAATCCCAGGAGTGGAAAACACTGAAGACAAGGTAGGTTGCACTCCCTGGCACTGAGACTAGCCAGTGTCAAGGCTCGAAAGTAAAACCAACTCCCTGGAAGAACAAGAGCTGAAAAAGAGTGTTCTGAGCCAAGAAGGTTTCCCATTTGGGAATTGCCCCCACTTCACCCCCACCCTCCAATACTGAATATCAAGGCTAAATTCATTCCATGAGAAACAAACATTATCTTTGCCACCTTTCATTCTTGTATTTTTTAATACACAATTTCTTTCACTTACAATGTGCAGTGAACTGTTCCTAATTCTACATGAAGAAAATAAGAAGAAAATTTGTGGTTAGTAGTTAACCAGAGCAACCACACCCTGGGATGCGAGCTGAGCAATGTTTAGACAGGCTAAGTTTTCTGAAGACTTGGATGATGGCAGAAAAGCCATCACTGGGTCCCTTGCTTGGCACCCTTAACTTCTCCGGATGCTGAGATGAACGCCCAGCTTCACCAACATGCCTGCTCTCAGTTGTGGCACCTGTCACTGCTGGACTGAGACTCACCACAGTGGCTGCAGTCACCAGCTCAGGGACCAATCAGCTGAGTATTTTCGAGCAAAAATGATGTGTGAACTTGAGTACAGCCGGTGTGCTAAAGAGGTGCATATGGCAGTTACCATGGTCACAGAGCAGCAGGAAGAAACTTAAGAGCTGCGACTGCTCACAGTAGGATCAGCTGGATGCTGCGGCCACAACGGACATGGAAGAAAACTGAAGCCCCATTAGCGGCATCTCCACTGGCATGTCCTGGAGTTAACGTGCAGTCAAAAGAGCCTTTGTATGGGTAATTGGCAGAAGCGGCTTGCTCTTCAGCAGTCCTTCGTAGGCAGAGAACCTGCACAGATGCAGCTAAATCAGAGAGGGCAGAAACTTCATTACATCAAGAAACTCTTCAAAGCTGATTTTTTTTCAGAAGGAAACAAAACTTGCCTTAGGAATCAAACTGGTAAGAGACTGGCGACAAATCCACAGGAAAGAACAAGTACTTGGACAATGCTGGCTTAGTCCTCAACACAAAAGCACTATCCTGGACACAGCATGTCTTCCGGACTTATCGTGGCTCTTCCATGAGAGCCTCTATCCAGCTGCTTCCATTCATCAGTTTAGTGGTCGCAATTACATACTCAGTGCCTCCATCTTCCAACTGGGAGAGAAAGCGCAGGGCGGCGATTTCAGCAAACGTGACACCCCCGAGGAAAAATATCAGCGTGACTCTGTTTTCTCCGGGTTGGCCTAAAATGTAAACATTTCAGAATTCAAAATTATCTATTACTGCTGTTTCTTGAAATATTTTTTTTTCATTTAAAAGTATATAAAAGGGTTGGAGAGATGATGGCTCAGCAGTTAAGACTGTGTATTGTTCCTGCTGAGGACATTTAATTTCCCAGCACCCACATCAGGCAGCTCACAGGCAGCTCCAGGCGCGCGCGCGCGCGCGCACACACACACACACACACACACACACACACAAATCATAAATATATTTAAAAACAGAGAAGTATAAAAAGGTCAAGTACATCTTGGTATAGTCGGTTCATTTGAGGCTCTAGAATGCTGACTTTGATCTTACACCCCGAGTCCTGGGGGTCTCAGTGCATACTGAAATATGCTATTCCCAAGAGCACAGCACAGCTCTGGGCTGCCAATGTGTATTAGCAACTGACTTTACAAATGTTTTCACAAAGCAACGGCACAACACAAGCCCCATCAACAGTACACTGACTGTGGATGGGAGATAAACTCACGTTTCTTCTGCAGCCCGGTGGGCAATGGCTGCCGTTCTTCAAAGTGTGGTCCTGGGAGAATGCGGAGAACCTCCTCGATACTCCGCCAACCTGGGCGGGAAAGGAGCTGAGCGAGCCGCACACTGAGTGGTGCATAACCACTGTACACGTAGGAAATGTCTGTGGGGTTCTGTCAACAGTTAAGGAAAAAAGTATGGAGACTGGGAGCCACCCGCAGTTTTTTGGTAACTGAAGTTATTTGATTAGGAAACAGAAACTTAAAATACCCCTTGCCTGTGTCTTGCTCCAATCCACCTTGCAGGGGCTCTGTGTTTAGCACCCGGGCTTTACATTCTTATTTATTGATTGATTGATTGGTTTTTTGTAGCTTTGGAGCCTGTCCTGGAACTCGCTCTAGAGCCGGCTGACCTAGAACTCACAGAGATCTGCTTGCCTCTGCCTCCCAAGTGCTAGGATTAAAGGCGAGCACCACCACTGCCCGGTTTACGTTTTTCTTTTTTTAAAGTTTGTTTTGACTTATGTGTACAGCAGGTATCTGTTTGTGAGTTGTAGATGGAAGTGTACAGACCCCTGCAGAATCCAGAAGGTACTGGAGTCACGGGACTTGTAGACCACATGATGCTGGTACTGGGAACCATACCTGGGTCCTCTGGAAGAGCAGCAAATGTTCTTATCTACAGCCTGGCTTCGCTTTAATCATTTGTTGTTTAAGACAGGATCTCACTATACAGGCCATGTCAGTCTCAAAGTTAGGATCCTCTTGCCTCAACTCTGGAGTGCTGGGATTACAGGTATGCACTGGAGAGACTGAGACTGGAGGATCAAAGTGTTCAAAGTCACTTGCTAGTAGGGAGATAGAGGCTGGCCTGGACTACACTGAGTCAGTCACACATACACAATGCACACGTGCACACACAGAAATGGTGTATAATTCAATGCTAGGAAGCAGGTTTAGCATGTGTGAGACCTGGGTTTAGTTTCCAGGATCAATAAACAAACAAACAAACAAACAAACAAACCCTAAGTAGTATTAAAAATAGCCAGAATGGAATGGGGCACCAGAAAAGCTCTTAGATCTAGCCCTTGTTAGGCAGTAGGTGTTCAAGGGGAAGAAGGTCAGACAGTGGTGAACTAGCACACTATGTGGACAATACAAGCTTGGCACATAGCAATGAGTGATGACTATAAAACCAAGAGGATCTCTGCAGACACTAGCACAGAATATGTGTAGAGTGCTGCAAAATGTGCAGACACCCTCTGGAAGAACTAAAACCTGGCCACCAGGGTGGCCTCTGTGAGGAACGTTATCTGTGGCAGGAACTGCTTCCCTTCCCAGTGCACAGCTGACTGGCTTACACATAAGGATGTTTCTGTGAACTATTCCTAACATCCCCTGTACCTCTTCCCCGGGCCCTGTGCCCAGAAGCCTGTAGGTATTGTGCCAACACTCCCATGACTTCTGTTGTGCCACGGCACAATTGGAGAGCAGACAGCAGCCTGTGGCCTGGCTTGTTTTGCCCTGCCCCCTGGTCTGTGACACACATGGAGGTCAGAAGCCATCAGCCACACAGTTTTCTGGTTCCTGTGACAGGTTTCCTTCAGGCCTCAGCTGGTGTGATGGATGCTAACTGTAGGATGGGCCTCTGAGCATGACTGATTAGTCACCATCGCAGGAAGGGCTCCATGACTAATGAGTGTGAAGAGAGTCATGGAGCACTGGCAAGCACAGGTGTGCACATCCTCTCTGTCCCGACTGAACGTGCTGTGCCTGACTCCCTCAAGCTCCTGCCGCGGGGACTCCCCAGCTATGATGGTCTGTAGCCTGCAACTGTGAGCGACAACAGTTGGTGAAGGGTCCACACTGTTCACATCTTTATTAACCTCAAGCTATCCAATCTGACAGCATTCTGTCTCTGCTGAGTCTAGGATGGATGCCGCACACATATGCACTGCTTTTCCTGAAGCATGAGGAAATGAGTAGAAAAGAATACAGACCTCAAAGAGTATGGGCACTTGCTGCCAAGCCTGGCAACCTGAGTTCAAGTCCCAGAACTGACATGGTAGAAGGAAAGAACCAACCCCTTCAAGTTGTATGCATACACTTGCCCACACACGCACTAAACAGATCAATGTGAAGAGACACTCAGGAAGCAGAGCTGATGTACAGAATACGGTGTGCACACTGTCACCATGAACTACAAGAATCAAGCACAGGAACACATCTTACTTGCTCATTGACATCATCCATCCAGAGCCGCAACGTTTTCCGAATCGTTGGGTAATTGTTTCTGCCCCCTGTCTGAGCTTTTAGCAGGCCAGCCTTCTCCAGGTTGTTCAAGGTCAGTATGTGCTCATAGCCGTAGGTCTGAAGGAGAAGGCATTTGGCAGTGATGTTAGGTCAGGAAAAGGCTTCTGCAGATTTCCAAAGAGGAGCACTCCAACAAATCAATGTGGTTTGTACCCCAGGGCTCATTAGCAAGGTCAGGACTGAGTGTGGAGAGTACAGGGGACAGGGCAGAGGGTGCTGTGACTGGGACTCTTAGATGCTTGTCCACCAATATTAGCCCTACTCCTTGTTTCAGGAATGATTTAAGATTTTTACTTTAAAGTCAGAGTTTATGACCCAAGCTAAGCATTAAAGAAAGTATATTTTCATGCAGTATATATTAGCTCTCACAGGCTTATCTGCACACCGAGAAGAACAAAAATAGTTCATAGTAAAATTTTGCACATAGAATTTTATTTGTTTTTTAAAAAAGAATAGTAGTCGCTGACCCTGTGGAATGCCCCCCGAGACACTTTACAAACATCATGTCAGCTACCCGTAGACTGCTGTACCAGCCATGCTAACTAACCTGGAGCACACACCGACTGGAAACTTGTGTACATACACGGCCTGTGTGCAAAGAAGAAATGAAAGGAGGAAGGAACCTCTGGGGAGAGAAAGGAATTGGAGCAGGGCTGGGGACAGTTGGCCTGCTCCATGCACTCTTGCAATACTGGAATCTCATGAGAATTTCTGTCACTTGTGTAACTAAAGAAAGAGGAAAACAAAATCCACAAAAACTAACAATATACTGAGCACTGACTGGTAATAACAAATAACCACCTGCCTGAGACATTCAAACGGGAAAATTGTTTTTTTGAGACAGGGTCTTACTATATAGCCCTGGCTGGCCTGGAGCTCATAGAGCTCCATCTGCTTCTGCTCCCAAGTGCATGTGTGTGGCATGCTGCCAGGCTATAGGAAAAAAAAAACATCTTTTAATAGCAGTGGGCTTCCCCATTACTATAAAGTCTAACAAGCTAAGCCTGTTTAGGAACAATCAGAAATTTGTCCTGTACATTGGCCCACAGACATACACACACATGCAAATCAATCAAAGAACGCAATAAAATTTTCCACAGAGGTTAGCAAGATGCTTTAGCAGGTAAAGATGCCTGCTGTCAAGGCTGATGTCCTGAGTTCCATCCTTGGGTCATATGGTGGAAGGAAAGAGCTCACTATCAAAAGTTATCCTCTGTCCTCTCCACGCATATCATGACACATAAGCATGAGTATACACATTTGCAAACACACATAAACATGCTAAATAATTAAATAAATAAACAAACATAATTTTAAAATTTAGATAAAAAAGATAGTGGTGATAGAAGTTAAAGACAGGGCTGCTGAGAAGGTCCAGAGGGTGAAGCACCTGCCACGCTGTGTGCTGAGCCTCACGGAGGTGGAAAGAGAACACACTCTGAAGCTGCCCCGCCCCCTTGTGCATGCCTTGACATGCACACACAGTAACAAACAACAGGTTCTAAAACAAAACAAGTTCGTGTTCACACCACACTAAAACAGCAGCTGTGAGAGTTCTATTATTAAAAGACGCGCTCCTTCTCAGCATATAAAACCTCTTTAGTTTACTACCTGGAGAATTTCCCTTTTGTAGAAGTCCAGAACCTTCTGCTTGAGCCCACTGTTGCACACAGACTGGAGGCACACCAGTCTCAACACCTTGATGAGCGGGTGCTTCTGGGCAATACAGTCCTCGATGTAATTGTTGACCTAGAAATGAAATATAAGCAGACTAACTAGCCCAAGGACTTAAAACAATTTGATATCTCTTATATTCCCCTAAGACAGTGGTTCTCAATCTGTAGTTCTCAATCTGACCCCTTTGGGGGTCATGGTCACAGGGGTCACCTAAGGCCATCTGCATGCCAGATCATACATCACGATTTATAACAATAGCAAAATTACAGTTATGAAGTAGCAATGAAATAATGTTATGGCAATGTGAGAAAACCACAAACCCACTGACAGCTGCAACTACTAGAGTCAGTGGGAGGCAGATGAAGTGAGTCAACCTTTGCCTATGAGGGAATTGTTAAATATAGTTAACACTATTGGTGTTAATGATAAACCTTCACTGTAAACAAAACAAAAAGAAAA